CATTTCTAAGTCATAACTGTCATAATGCTCACTGGGGAAAAAAATCAAGATAGTGTTCTCAGAGTCCAAGGTTTCCTCAAGGAAGTGTCTCAGTGCAGCACACAGTGCTCCTTTCACGGGGAGCAGGGAACTCAGACTCAGCCCTTTAGGAGGCTCAGCCTTCTAGGGGGGTGGGACAAGCTAGATTGTGTGAACTATTTTCTCACTGTGCCATGCATGTCTCTAGAGGCCCTTTCTACCTCCACCTCAACGATTCTGAACAACCTCCCACTACCTTTCCCTGAGGTGGGTGCGGGGGTCCCAGTATCCTGGAAAATGATGCTTGAAGTCAGTTTTCTGACTCACTGCATAGGTTTACTGCTGTCAACCTCAGCCTGGCCAGCAGCACACAGGTGTTCTCAGGGTCTTTCCTTTCATGAATTAGTGTTGTGGAACAGCCCTCGTGTCACCTTAATTGGAACAGTTAGACTACCTGCAAGGGACAGTAATAAGCCTGGGCCTGTGGACGCTCACTCTTAGGAGTAGGGTGTGGAGCTGGGTCATTAGACCCTCCCTCGCGCTTACAGCCACGCCCTCCTGCATGCCACGCCCTCCTGCATACCACGCCCTCCTGCATGCCACTCCCAGGTGCAATTCTGCCTCAGCTGTACGCTGGTGAGTACAAGGACAGAAGGTTAATGGGATCCAGAACAGCCGGGGCTCCATCTGTGCACCTTTTAGGAAGCCTTTAGCCATGCCGGGGGTGGGGCTTTTCAGTGGTTCGTCTGTTTGAGAATCACCCATGCCTCTGTAAGTCCAGTGAACACCGTACTAGATGGGTGAGAGTCTTTGGTCAGTTGCTGCTGCCCTATCTGGGATGGATGGACATTTGTTCTTGTCTTCTTCAGAAAAACTAATGCAGCACTTGGCGCCTAGACAGAGACAGGACAAAACCAAGGTTGAGTTTTGGAGGGCCAGGTACATAGGCCTTGCTGTGGGGTTGACCAACAACGTGAAAGTGAGGCTGGCTAAGGGTGGCACGCTGCCCAGGGGCAAGTCCTGCAGTGGCTGTCCTCCATCAGGTATGGAATGGCTTGCCTCTTTGTTGCATTTGCATTGTTGTTCCTGCTGTGGCTGATTAGACATGCAAAGGAGGCTGAGTTGCCAGCCCAGAGGGAAAGCCAGGATGGAAAATTCGTGGGGCAAATCCTGGTAGTGGCATCCATTCTCGACATGTACAGGGGTGTTTAAGGAAATTTCAGAAGTGATTTTCTCCAGGCAAGGGGCTGGAGAGATGGCTGAGCTGTTAAGAGCACTGACAGCTCTTCCAGAGTGACCCAGGTTCAATTCCCAGCATCCACATGGCAGCTCACAACTGTCTGTAACTCTAGTTCCAGGGGATCTGACACCCTCATATAGACATACATGTAGGGAAAAAAAAGTGACTGGCAAAGAGAGAATATGTTGTGTATTCGTGAGTATCATGTATGGATATTTTATAAGAGAACCATGGTAGAGCTGTATTCCCTGGCTACAAGTGACAAGACATGCAATGAAGGCTCAGTCTATGCCCACAAAACTTGCCTGCATGAAGAACACTGACAAAAAAGACTTCATCACACCAACCTCTGATTTTGTAGGTAAACTGGATAAAGGAGAGGATGCCTTGCTATTTCTTACAGCTGGGGGAAATGTAAGGAAGAGAGTCTGTAACCCAATCCTGAACTTAAATAGCTCCTTCTGGAATGCCAAAGTTGGAGGCTGGCGGAAAGAATTGAATGGTGATAGCAATGGGAGAAATGCAGTAGGTTAGTGAGGGAGCTGGACAGGACAGAGGTGGCATGACCAGCTTACCTGCTCAGATAGGACTATGGAGCTTAAGGTAATTCAGCAGGCCTCAGGACTGCTATAGCCCCATTCTGGGCCCTGATCTTTATGAGGTAGGAAGGGCTCTGGGAGATCTGAATGACTTACACTGGCATGCAAATTGTGCTCACAAAATAGAAAGCAATCAGGAGGGAATGAAAAGAAAATGAAAAAAGCAGACACAGGTCACTCAAGCAAATATGTAAAGGTTTGTGTCGAGACGGAGTTTTTAGGGAAAAAAATAGCTGAATTCAGTGCTTGTAGTCTCTGGAGCAGTACAGCTGAAAATGATTAAGGTTGGCCCAGCCACTGACAATTAGCCCCTCAGTGTGTACATTTCTTTCCTGCAAGAGAGTGTTGTGGGGGTGGAAACTGTTTGCCCAGCCGTGCCCTTTCAACAGCCAGGTGTGGATAGTGGAGAGGCAGCAGCCTTCGACTCTGCCTGGAGCTTGTCAGATCCAGAGAACTGGTGAGCATGGCAGGTGACTCATAGTCCCACTCCTCCTTGGCACCAGACCAAGGCAATTAGCGTGAGCCAGCCCCACAGAGCTCCTCCGCATGGGAAGATACACAGAGGCCCCCTGGTAGCACCCCAAGATGAGAAAGTGGGATGGCTCATAGATAGAGACTGGATTACAGAGAGCTAAACAGGTAGACCCTTTTATCCACACCTTTTGAGAAACAGTTGCTACAGACGACTGGGATCTTTTCATGCTGTGTTGGATCTTGCTTGCTCACTGTTTTTTTGGTTTTGAGACGTGATCTCACATCTGGCCTCTAACTAGCCAAGAATTAGCTTGAACTTTTGATCATTTTGCTTTCCCATTCTGAGTGCTGGAATTTCAGAAGTGTACCACCAAGTCTGGTTTATGTGGTGCTACTGATTGTTTATGCCAGACAAGGCGTTCACCGACCACATCATCAGCCCCTAACTTCTCTTTTAGTATTCCTTTAGATGCTGTGGCCTGTGATGGTTGGCACTTTGTTGGGGGGAGGGTCTCCAGAGATAAAACGTTTTTTTAACTCTATCTTAAAGATTTAGATAGGCATCAGAAGGGCATGCACGAGCACTTAAGGACCAGGACTGGAAAGTGAACCTGCACAAGGGCCAAGGACCATGCACAGCTGTGAAGCTGAGTTTTATCATTCGATAACATGCAGATGATACCCAGCAAGGTGATTACGCAAAACTCACAACAGCCTATACCTATAAGCTGAAAAACAAAGATTTTTGAAGAAAGATAGCATGCACAGGTGGAAAGACACTCCCAAAAGTGTCTTTCCAGTGTCAGGGGTGGGCTATTCTCCTTTGCTGGCCAGAGAGGTCCCTGACATCCCAAAACAATGCAGGGCATTGCCACTGCTGTTAGTTGCCATGGGAAACAGATGGTAAAATGCTATTGTTGAAGACATCACATGCTGATTGCAGGGCATGCATAATTCAAATGGACTGAGCTGAAAGCTCCCTTCTTGCAGACTGATGATTGGAAGTGCCAGAAGGTGCTATGTAGGCTGCTTGGTGAGAATTGTTACAAACTGTCCTGCTAATCTATAGACACCAGTGTTAATGTTACCTGTGTGCCAGGCAGACGTGGTACAATAGTGGTACAACTATAATGGGTACAGCCAATTTTCAGATTGTCTTTAAGTACTGCTCTGCAGGAAGGGGCTCATGTTGCTGTTGTAAGAGGAGGTCATAGGGCCCTAGTGTGGAACTACTTCTGTAGTTAAATGGATATGTGCCTGTCAGACTACCTGCTAAACATTTATGTTTACCTATAGATGACGGTGCTGTCAATGTCAGTTGTACAGAGAATCCTTTTTCTTTTTCCCAGTGAATAAAAGTTACTTGGAAGACCCACAGCCCATCAAGTTGCATAGAATAAAGTGGCTGTTGCTATGGCATAGTGATTCAATGCTCAGCCAAAATGAAAGACAATAACCAAGCATCTTTATCACTTCTTTCAATGTTCAGGGAATATGGCAGACGAGGCAGGTGGAGAGAAAGCCTGGATGCTGTGTACTGATCTTCAGGGTAAAAATCGGCCTTTACCACCTAAATCAAAACAGCCTCCTACAGCTGCACCAGCTTTCATGGGTTACATAAGGTAGAAGACTAGGAGAAACCCATTCAGTTTTTAGAAGAAGAATGGATCTATGGTAGGATGGGATTTTCTGCAGTGCAGTTGTTTTGAGGTCCTCCTCACTAATGTAAATAAATAACACTTCACCCATGCTGCTCTAAGCATGCCCTGTAAATTCATTGGTTCATCAAGCTATAATTGGGTACATTCACTTCTATTTTCATTTCTATTAGTCTCCCTTGGAATAATTAACACAAAAAACATATTCTGCATTAAGCTGCATTTTCTTCACATACCCCAGCCAAAGCAATATTCAGTGCTGCAGGCAATTTAACACAAATGTGAAAATTATGTTTGAGACAAGATCTCAGTCTGTAATCCCGGCTGGTGTCGATATCATAGAGAACCTCTTGCTTCCATATCCTCAATGTTGAGATTAGAGGCGAGCGCCACCATGTCCAGCCCTAAGTCTTAAAGGTCCTATTTAAAGACTACACAACCCTCAAGGCACCTCTACCTGGCAGTGCTCTTCTTCCCCGCATCAAAGGATAAACTGAGGCCGATGCTTTCCTTGGAGGAGTCTATTACCCCATCTACATTTTTAGATGTCTCGGGGCCAAAGCGCCATGGTGAGGTCCCCTTGCTTCGCCACGTTTCCCGGCGTGAGGTGTGCACACCACCTAATGGCTCTCGCTGCCGGAGGGAGGCCATTGAGGGTGCATCCCATTCTACAGACATAAGCGGAGGCTCAGAGTCACCCAGCGCCTTACTAGAGCCGCACGAAGGCGCAGCCGTGGCCCTAGGACCGCGCGAGGCTGAGCACGTTGGACACCGGGCGCCATGCAACCGCCGGCCTCTAGGTCCGGGAGCAGATCCGGAAACCTCCCTTCCGGTTCCCAAGTCTGCGTTTCGGAAGTGAGTCACTCTGCCAGCACATAATATGGCTTCCAGCTCTCCCACCGCCCTGGATGTGGACGGTAATGTGGGCGGGATCCGGAAGTTGCCCGGTCGGGGAATGGCGGCCGCTGGGGGCGTGGCTTCCGGCGCTCATTGCCTGCAAGTCGCGGCGGCTGAGAGCGCAGGCGGCAGCTGACAGGCGCTTTTCTTCAGACGGCTGCGGCGGGAGCCCAGCGAAGCGGGCGGCCTCTCCAGTTCGTGTCCCCGCGTCCCGGCCCGCGAAGTTCCAGGACGCCGGGGCATGGAAGAAGGGAAGATGGACGAGAATGAATGGAGTTACCACGGCGAAGGCAACAAGAGCCTTGTGGTGGCCCACGCGCAGGTGAGCGGCTTGCGGGCGGCGCGGCTCCGGGCCTCACCCGACGGCTCCCGCAGCCCCGAGTACCTTCCAGTCTGGGTCGTGACTCGTCCAGCTTCCGCTCAGGTGGTTCCCTGGTATCCCCCGCAGTACCCTCCTCAGCTCCGAACTCATCCCGGTACCCCTGTCTCCGTTGCCCCCCCTTTCCTCCTAGTATCCGTTCTCGGTGCCTTGTCCTTTCAGTACTCTTCCCCACGCCGTGTGGGTGCCGCCTGGCCTTACGCTGTGCAAACTCCGTTGAGATGCTCGTCTTACTGGCCACAGTGGCCCAGAGGTTGAGCCTGGACCAGGGCCTGGGCAGCACTGGGGAGAGTGCCCAAAGAGTGCTGTCACTCTCAGCATGGAGTTCTTGGAATTCTCTCTCGTGTAGAGACCACGGAGCTGCTGTTCTACCCTGTTGCTGCGCCGTTAGGAACGGAGCGCTACCCCAGGTTCCCGTCCACATCATATACTTTAAATGGTTTCTCCTTAGCTGATCTTAGAAGGGAGTGTCAGAAGCTGTAGTGATCGCCAAGGAGGCGAATTTAGGAAGAGAAGCAAATGGATTTGTGCGCAGCCCCAGATTTCTCTGACATCTTGCCATCTGATACAACCTAGCAGGAATGTGGTGGGCTGGGGGAGTGAAGGCGGGAGGTGTCATGTGAGAAGGTTAATAGCACAGGGAGCTGGGGTGATTCCCAGCGCTACCACTGGTGGAGAAGCCGTAGGCCGCTTTAGGAAAGCGAAGATAGGAATAGCACTTTGTTTCCATGAAGTTAAGATTGTATGGAACTGTACAGTGTTGAGCAGCCTAAAGCTTGGGTCTTGAGTCTAGCTGCCATCTCTGCCCTATTGGTTCAGAATGTGGACTGAGGAAGAAAAAGGCCCTCCTGGAAGATAGTTTTTGTGTTTTTTTTCACTGCCTTTTGTGACAAGGGAGAGTAGATGTTTCTAAGTGAGACGGAGAGACTCTCTGTTCTCTTCAGTACTGGACATGGCTGTAGTCCTCCTTCCCCTTTGAGAGCAGGTGAACTTTGTTTCTCTGCTTAGCTTCCCAGGCCTGCCTCATCCAATCCGAGAGAGAGGGAGACCTTTAGCAAGTCTCTCCAAACATGGTCACTTTTTCTGGGCTAGCATCCACTACTGAGTTGAAGAGCTCTCTTGTGAAGTCCCTTGTCCGCCCTTCCTCCTCTGTAGCACGTGTGCAGAGCCATCCTTAGGCCTGTCCTGCAGGACCTGGGGGTGCTGGTTGGGGACATTGTGCTGTCACTGGCCAGCAGCACTGAAAAAATGTCCAGTTCCTGTCAAGTGCAAACGGGATGAGAGAAAGATGGAGCCCTCTTTGGTGTACAGGTCTTGGTGTCTTTGTGGGAGAGGCCATTGAGGGCTGCAGAAGTATACAGGGTATGCTTGGGCAGGCAGGAAGGTGGACAGGCAGCCAGTTCACAGAGAGGAGTTGTGTCAGGGTTCTCTCTACCCCCTGCTCTCAGGGACAGCTCCAGAAGGTTCCATTGTTACTTGTCAGTCTGTCCCATCCTGATTTGCAACAGCTCTGTAGTGTGTCCATTTCCAGGTACTGTACCTTAAGTATCCCCTGCCCAGCTGGTGCAAACAGACCTCTGACCTACTTGCAAGGCTGTCAGCTTCCTGATCACTGTCCTGTCTACAGCCACAGCACGGACCCTGAGGGAGCTCTTGGTCAGGGCTGTGCTGCATTTTAGCACAGCCTTTCCTCCATGCAGACGAGGCTGTGACACTTGTGCTACCGAACATTTCAGTCAGTGAAGCCTGTGGCCTCCCCCAAGGCCACTGCAGCTTAACTCTCCTAAGGCATCTGCATTTGTACCTTCAGATTGTTGATTTTGGTTCAGAGTCTGGTCTTGTAAGGTCCCTTTACATTTTGTTTGACATTCACTCTCTGAGTTGTCCAGAGCACCCAGCCTTTTGGGTTGAGTTGGCGGTAAGATGCGAGGGAAACAATGTCCACTCTATTACCACGCTGAGCTGTCATGTTTTCCTTCTTATTGACAGAGGTAGTATGGAAGACTTGTTATTTAGCTAATCTTCCCAGAAAGACCATGTGTCAGAACTTGGAGAATGCTGGTCTGGTTTTAAAACCTTTCAGAGACTCTGGAGAGCCTCATCATTTCTATAACCGTACAGTGTCTGGGGCATGTGTCTGGACCTTTCAGGTATGAACAGTAAGCTTTAGGGGTCATCTCATAGTTTCTCTCTCACGCTTGTGTTTTAGGATTTTTGATTTGTGGGTTTATATTTTATAATTTACCACTATCTTATATATCACAAAATAAACAATTTAGATGGTTATTTTATAGTGGATGGATTTCTTAAAGTAGACTAATATGCCATTTAATGTGGGGAAATGTTAACAATGTTAACTGAAAAAGGGAGTTACAGACAGGTAGTGTGATTGTAATTAGACGTGACTGGAAGAAAATACAAGAAAATCTTACAAGTAGCTATAGCTTTACAGTAGTATTATTTGATTACTTGATTGAGAATGGATCTTACTGTGTTGCCCTGGCTGACCTAAAATTCCTCAATCAGTCTTTCTCATCCTCCTGAGTATGTGGGATTACAGGCTACCAGTCATGGCTCCTTTTTTTTTTTTTTTTTTAAATAGTATTTTCTGCACTGGGGAAGCCAGAGGCAGGGAGAACTCTGTGAGTTTGGATCTAGCCTTGTCTATATAGCCAGTTCCAGGCCAGCCAGAGCTACATAGTGATACTCTGTCCCATAAGAAGACTCTAAAACCTTTTATGTTGACTGTATTATAATCAGGAAGAAGTAGTTTAGTGTTAGAATTTGCATTCGCATGCTTAAGGCCCTGCACACAAATGCACCTCCAGCATCAAAACTATCCAGGGTTGAAAGGGACACAGGTGTGAACTGTGGTGTAGGTCACAAAGTGAAAACAAGTGTTATACATTGATGTAACCCAGAGAGCCTAAGGGGAGCCATGGAGACAGGCCAGGCCAGCTCAGCGACCCCTAGTTCCAGCACATGAAAAGGACAAAAATATCAGGACAATTTTGTTGTTGTTGTTTTGTTTTTCAAGACAGGGTTTCTCTGTTTTAACCTTTACTATCCTTGAACTCATTCTGTAGACTAGGCCTGCCTCTGCCTCCCAAGTGCTGGGACTAAAGGTGTGCACAACAAGTTTTTTAAAATTTGTAGTATTGGATCTAATTTCTATTCTTGTGTACTTGATGAAGAAATTGGAAGTGATAATCATGATATTGTTCACAAAGGTTTCCATCACAGGGTTATTTATGATCGCTTAGGTAGACATCTGTTCGGTGCTGGAAGAGTTACCCTCCTTGTGGAGATGTTGGAATCACAGAGCTGACATTTTGTGTTTCCAGCTGCATGTTGTATACCCAAGCCCTGGGCCCATCTTCAGCACCTAGAACTGGCTGAAAGAGTTTGGACTTTTTCTTTTCACTGTTAAAGAAATGACATATTGTATACTTGAGATATTCAGTGGTGGTCTCTCAGATTGATGCTGATGAAATTATTTCTTTCTTGGTGGTTGGTCTGGTCACATCTTGTCTCCTTGCATGTTCACTTTTGATTCCTTATCTTGTGTTGCCAGGTTAGAATTTATTTCCATATTCCCTTTGGTGATGTTTAGGTTTGTGTTGTCTTGCTAGTATAAGGATGTGTTTGTCTTTCTGTATTTACATTTCAGAGGTGACCTTTCTCCCTCCCTGACTCTTTTCTGCTTGGTCAAAATTCAGTCAGTTGAGCTCTCAGTTACTTTGTCTTTGAGAGCAGCAATGCAGAAGGCTCTTGGTTGGCCCACCCTCATCATCACACAGTCTGACAGAAGTAGCATGGAAGACTTGTTTCAAGGGCCTCTGGTTTTTGTTTCTATTTTTCTGGCTGCACCTGTGGCTTCTGTGAGCACTGATTTCTTTTTGCATGTTGTTGGGGTCGCTACCGGTTAGAGGTCACTGAGCTGGCCTGTCCTGCCTCTATAGCTTCCCTTGGGCTCTCAGGGTCACATCAATGTGTGGCACATTCTTTCACGTTGTAACCTCCCCTCATACTTCACACCTCTGTCCTCTTTGCTCTGGGAGGACGGCTGGGAGCTTGAGCTAGAAATACAAAAGGTTAGGAAAGAGATACTGAGGCATCAGCACGCACCACTGCTGATGTCCCAGCTTTATCCTTTGTTGATCTGCCTTGTTCTCTCTAAGGCTTTTAGTTGTCATTGAGGCTAAGCTGTGCCGTTGTGAATGCCTCAGCCTCGGAGGCCTGCTTCTCCGGTCCTAAGGACATGCATTCATTTGTGTCATAGAGGTCAGTGGCTTGGCATCTCTTGCCTCTGGTAATTAGCAGACCATGGATGGTTCCCATATAGGTTGAGAGTCTGTGTGGAAGCTGGTTTCAGGAGACAGTTTGGGACATACTGTGGCTCTACCTGGAGGTCGTTTTCACAGTGGGGAGGGTCTGGGTAGAATGCTGTTTCTGAAACCTTGGGCCACATCCTGAGGGGTGATGCTCTTTTGTATCCCTTCCCTTGACAGTGATTGGAGCTTCCTGGGATCTTTCATGGGCCCTTATCACTTCACCAGCTTGTCAAAGGACAGTGGCCCCTGGGACACCTGAGTCAGTGAGTGATTCTTTCTATCCTGAGAGTATCCTGTAGGTGGCAGGATAGCTTGTCTTCACTAACGGGCTTTAACTGTACTCCCCATTATGGTTTGTATCTCAACTGACAACCAAGGGCCATGTTGAAGTCCAGGTCCCCAGACGACCGTGCTGTTGGAGCCTTAGAGGCAAGGGAATGTACTTCCATTGTGGTAAGCTGCCTCACCACAGGCTCACAACAGTGGATTAAAGCAGCCAAGGATGGAAACCTCTGAAGCCATGAACCTTTCATCCTCTTTATTTTTTCTAACGTTTATTTACTATTTGTATGATGCTTTGCCTGCATTTATGTCTCTTCCTATTCACCATGTGTATGTAATGCCAACTGAGACCAGAAGATCCCCTGGAACTAGAGTTAGAAGCTACAGATGGTTAGGTACCATGTGGGTGCTGGGAACCGAGCCCAGGTCCTTTGGAAGAGCAGCCAGTACTCCATGCTCTCTCCTCCAGCCCCACCTTTCCTCCTCTTAAGCTTATTTTCTCAGATGCCTTGTCATGGTGGTAGAAAGCTAGCACTCCATTGTATTTCACTTTGGCAGGTTCTGTGTGGCCTTTCATTTCTATTTAGTTATTCAGTTGTTGCCTCTCCTGCCTCCAGAAAAATACAGAGAACTAGAAGAATGTGGAATGTCTTCTGAACACTTTGATGTTCTTCCAGTTCTTTCCCAGTTACATGCCTCCGTTGGCGGTGGGAAATCCTTGAAGGCTGTCTGTTTTAGCTTCCTTTGGCCAATGGCACTTCTTCTACTTGTTTTTGCTAATGGGAGCTGTTTAGGGGCCGATTTTTCACTTGTTTTGTACTGTCACTGTCTACTCTTTACTTCCCATAACCACGAACCTCAGGGTAGGCCCTTTATGGGAGTTGATGGGAGTTGATGGGCCCATGCTGGTTGGCTGTGGTGAGCTTAGTGTGTCTGAGGGCTGGTACTAATGTTGACATTTAAGGCTGATGACAGTTCTCCTGGGGGAGGAGGGGTTGGGTTTCTGGTGACGGTTTATGTATGATGAATGTGTGGGTGGAGAGAATAGTTTCCCTTGAAATGGATCTATCACTGTATTGATGTTTTTCTTAGTTGCTCATGGTTTGAGCTACCTAAGGGAAGGGAGAGGAGACTTCCTGTGGGTGATAGAGAGGCTGAGCTACTCTGCATGGCTCTGATGGCCGAGGACACCTTGTGGTGGGATGGTCCAGTAATGGAGAAGCATTGGGCTACTATGGGCTTTGCTGCCTAGGCCCCCTGAGGCTTGTGTTCATATTGTTTGCCTAGGACTAGCCAGCACCCCTAACCTCTTAGTTGACAGCTTAGCAGCCAAGTGGAGCCGGAGAACTGGAAATGTGATGTGGAGGTGCCCTGGGATTCAGCTTATTTACAAGCACATGACCTTGACCTTAAGGGCCAAACCCCTAATGTCTGGGCTTCCCTCAGGCCTAGCTTCCCACATTCGATATCCTGAGATTCATATGACCCACCTCAATGGGAGAAGTGGCTGAGAGATTGTAGCCTGGGAGAATACTCTGGTATTCTCTGCAGTGGTGATAGTGTTGATGTTAGTGAGTGCCAGGGGAACAGTGATGCTATTTATGTTGTCAAAGAGGAGCCAACAGTTTCTTCCCAGGAACTCACCCCCCATCCCAGGGTGTCATTTTCTATCCCTGGCTGGCCTAGAACTCACTGCAGTCTAGACTGCGCTTGGACTCAGAGATTCCTCTTACCCCTGTCTCCTGTGTACTGGGATCAAAGGCATGCACCACACCTGGTTTTTTGTTTATTTTGTTTTAAAGACAGGTTTCTTTTTAGTCTAGGCTATAATAGGACTTACTCTGTGGATCAGGTTGGCCTTAAACTTGCCATCCTTCTGTCTCAACCTCCAACTACTGGGATTGTAGGTGTGAGCCATCTTGCCCAGCTATATTAACATTTTTTTCTTGGTAGGCTAGAGACTTGCTTTTGAATTAACTTGTTGATGCTGGTGTGTGTGCTCTAATTCGTGCCTGCCTGTGTGTGTTAGTAATGCAAAGGAAATGTGTAGTTTTTGTTTGTAAGTAGGCCAGCTGTCTTGTGTTTATCAGGAACACAGTGGCAGGAACTTTGGGAATCTGAGTTCATACTAATAGTAAAACACTACCAGGTGTGGGGTCAGTGAGTTCCTATTGTTGGCATTTGTGTGCACTGGCCCTCTGGACTGGCTTCTCCAAGGATACAGTGGGGAGTTCCTGTGATAGAAAGGCTCATATGACTTGCCTAGCACCACCCTTCCTGGGCCTGCCTGGCGACAGAATTCTGTTGTGCAGCTTATTAGTTCCCTGGGAAGTGGAGAAACACACTGCTTTCCTCTGGCTGCAGTAAGCTCTGAGAACAAGCTTGGCTCCTGAGGGCTCCCTATGTGGGACAGTGTGAGACTTCCCCTGCAGGCAGGCCAGGGCAGCAGGGCTCTGTCCTCAGTGACTCAGGCACTGATTAGTGTGTCCTATGTTGGTGTTAAGCATGGCCAGGCCTTCCCTGTCCTTGATGTACGTGTCTTTTTTTTTTTTTTTTCCTCTCCTTTTTTTGGTGTTTTGAGACAGGGTTTATCTGTATAGCTCTGCCTGTCCTGGACTCTTTGTAGACCAGGCTGGCCTCGAACTCACAGAGATCTGCCTGCCTCTGCTCCCTGAGTACTGGGATTAAAGGCCGTACCACCACGACCAGCTGACATACGTTGTCTTAATTGTTGGAGGGAATAATCAGACAGGCTCTTGAGTAGAACAGCACTATATTGTGCCCAGCTGAGGAGAAAATCAACCTTTTTTTTTCCTGATGGTTTTTTTGAGATAGGGTTTCTCTTTGTAGTCCAGGCTGTCCTGGGACTCATTTTGTAAACCAGGCTGGCCTCTAACCCAGAGCTCTGCCTGCCTCTGCCTTCCTATATAGTGGTGGGCTTAAAGGCATGTGCCGCCACCACCACCTGGTTTAGAACTTGTTTATAATTAGCTTTTCTGTAGATCTGTTTTTTAAAATTTAGATGAAATTATAGTTCCATTAAAGTGATCATTAACAGGGATTCCCAATATTAATTGGTGGTGCCTGCTTTTAACACAGGGAAGGAAGCAGTTGTGGCCTGTAAGCTTTGAGGCTCAGCTCTGCAGGCCAGGACTGACATTCAGCTGTGCGGTTGATTAGCATCCAGCCATGGCACAGCTGGGATGGGAACGCAAGAAGAAGGGTTGGAGAGCTGTGCTTGGTGGTGAATGCAGAGTTCTCACATAGTCCCAGCTACCTGGAGGGGTGAGGATCACTTGAGCCCCTGAGGACAAGGCCAACCTGGGCAATAATGCAAGTCCTGAACCCCAGAGTCTTTAAATTGTTGAGGCCATGATATTGAGAAGGAGGGGCAGGGCATAGGAGAGGGATTAGAGGGAGGAAGGGGAGACATAATACAGTTATATTTTAATTTAAAAATAAAATATTTCAAAAATATTTAAACGAAACAGGAGGACCTGGGGGCCTGGAAGGTCCCAGTCAGCATAAGAGGAGTAGTGTGCATGGTCGGGGATCTCCCCCAGGGCCTTTGCGGCTTCTTAGGTACCCCCAAATATTGTATTTTCACAAACATTTTAAAAATTTATTTTTGTTTTATATGCATTGGTGTTTTTCCTGCATGTGTCTGTGTGGGATTGTCAGATCTTGGAGTTACAAACAGTTGTGAGCTGCCATGTGGGTGCTGGGAATTGAACTCGGGTCCTCTGGAAGAGTAGTTGTTGCTTTTAATCACTGAGCTCTCCAGCCCCTGCACATTTTTTTTTTTCAAGACAGGGTTTCTCTGTGTAGCCTGTAGTCCCAGATGGTTGTTAGATGAAGATTAAGCCTGAGTCTTTTGCAAAAGCCACCTGAGCTATCTTTCCAGGCCCACCCACCCTTTTTTTTTTTTTTTTTTTTGAGAGAGAGAGTTTCTCTGTGTAACAAATCTGTCTGTCCTGGAACTAGCTCTGTAGACCAGGCTGGCCTCAAACTCACAAAAATCTACCCACCTCTACCTCCAAAGTGCTGGGATTAAAGGCATGCACCACTACTGCCTGGCCTAGCCTCTCCTTTATAAAAGTCATTTTTGAGACAGGTTTTCCTGCTGTGTGTGTCCTGGGTCAGCGTGGAAATCCTAGAAGCCCTTTCCTCGGCCTTCCTGCTGCTGGGATTACATGTATAATCACCACAGTAGGGTGGGGCGGGGACATTTGCTTGTATTGAAATAGTTTCCTGCTATGAAGTCCAGACTGCTTGGGGACTCAGTCCTCAGGTTTGGGAGGCTGAGACAGGAGGAATACCATGAGGCCAGCCTGGGTAACATACTGTGTTCCGGAGTGAGAGGGCTAGAAAAGAAAAAGGAAAAACCCAAACTGTGCTTGTTGTCTGGAAATGCTGCTGAACTTGCCATGAACGTCCGTTGAGAGCTCTTCATCCAAAGACACTGTACATGTTTCACTTAACAGTTTGTGCTTAAAAGAAATTCCTCCCTTACTTGGAAACAGAATCTTGCAAAAAATTGTGATTTAACAAATATAAAATTGGGTTGGGCTTAGTGGCACACAACTATGATCCCAGTGCTTGGGAGGTAGGAGCAGGAAGATGATTAATTTGAGGCCAGCCTGGGCTATATATAGTGAGAGCCTATTTAAAAACAAAAACAACAAAAAAACAACAACAACAAAGGAAGGTTGGAGGGATGGCTTGCAGGTCCAAGGGCATGTACTGTTTGCTCTTCCAGAGAACCTGAGTTCAGTTGCCAGCATTCACACTGGGCAGCTTACAACTGCCTATACTCTAGCTCGAGAGGTTTCAGTGCCCACTTCTGGCCTCTGAGGGCCCCTGCACTTGTACCTGGGCATATATTACCCCAGCGAGTCCCCTGCCCCATGGTGTTTTGCCAGCATGTTTGTGCACCATATGCATAACTGGCACTGCTTGTGAGCTGCCATGTGGGTGCTGGGACTCAAATCCAGGTCCACTGGAAGAACAGCTGGTGCTTTTAACCTCTGAACCATTTCACCAGCCCCTGGATAATGACTTTTGAGTTTCCTTATTTCCTTAAGATAAATATCTAGGAGGGAGTGGGCTGGGTCAAAGGCCACAGATTTTCCTGGTTGCTTCATGGTGCAAGCTTTCTGAAAGTGACTGCAACTGGGTCTCCTCCATGCTTCCTTGGCCCATTCTCCTCAACTGTTGACCGTTATGCCTGAGTGTTGGGCCAGCACTGATCATGCTTTGTTTTATTTTTCAACAGCGCTGTGTAGTTCTGCGGTTTTTGAAGTTTCCTCCAAATAAGAAGAAGGTAAGATTGGTGGACTGTCATCATAGCCTTTACTTAAGAAGACCTGGATATTTTCTTAGGGCAGGTGTGTGTGTGTGTGTGTGTGTGTGTGTGTGTGTGTGTGTGTGTTTTATGCCTTCCTTCCCTTCCCTTCCCTTCCCTTCCCTTCCCTTCCCTTCCCTTCCCTTCCCTTCCCTTTCCTTTCCCCTCCCCCCTCCCCCCTCCCCTTCCCCTTTCCTTCCCTTCCCTTCCCCCTTTTTTCTTTCTTTCTTTTTTTTTTTTTTCTGGACACAGGGTTTCTCTGTGTAGCCTTGGTTGTCCTAGATTCGCTTTGTAGACCAGGCAGGCCGGTCTTGAACTCACCGAGAGCCTCCTGCCTCTGCCTCCTGAGTGCTGGGATCACAGGTGTGTTCCACCGCATCTAGTGTGTGTGTATATGTGTGTGTGTTATGCTGCTAAGAATTGAACCTGAGGCTTTATGCTGGATAGGGAAATGCTCTACCTCTGGAGTGTAGCCTATATCCTAAGCCCTCCAGTGCAGAACTATTAATGCTAATTTTAGAAATTTCATTCACTGTGGAAAATAGTGGGCTATCATTCCTGCTGTGTGAGACCTAGCAGGCGTGTCAGTGTATGGTAGGTTGGTCTGCATGAGCCCTGGTATAGCCTGTGGGCCCTGCTCAGAGGAAATCCAGGGCCTGGTTTCAACTTGATCTTGAATTCCTTCATTGCCTTAGCAGAATTTTGTGTAAGAAAATACAGTGTCTCACAGTAGGTGGATAATCAGTGATGCTAAAGTCACAGTGGGCAGGATCAGGTGGAACAAGTAGGTTGAGTTATCCAAGCACAGCCTGTGGACCCTTCATGAAGACTTGCTCACCACCCTGTCTACCCAGGCTGGGCTCTTGTTCCTTTGTGACGAGTCTCAGGCAGATACTGAGTATTGGAGGCTCCTGTGGCCACACCTGCTTATCTGCTGCTGTTGTACCAGCACATGGTGTGAGGGAGGCTGAGACAATTGGCCTGTCTTGCTTTGCACATGGCCAGCTGCCTGTGAGTCACCTGGGACTGACCTGGCCTCTGAGGGCAAGAACCCCAAAGTGGGGGAAGGTGGAACTCTTTGAGAAGGTCATTGGACTGTCTGTGAGACAGTGCCTCAAGTAACTGAGGGTTGTAGGAAGCTATGGGACATTGGTGACAGAGATGATAGGGGCCCTCAGGGCTTGCTTCTAGGAGCCGGCAGGAATGCTGCCTTTCACTGAGGCAGGAGTGAGAGTCAAAGGTGTGTCGAGCAGGCAGAGGGAGCAGGGTGGGCCCAAACATTCGATAGCTTCTACCTCAGCTGCCGAAGAGAAATGACCCAAGGTGTTCTGATTCTGTCAGATGTGTCTTGAGGTGCTTCATGCTCTTCTGTCTGCCTGTCCTTGTGCAGTGACTGTAGTGTTCATGCATCCCACCTACTCAGCCTTCCTGGGCTGTGTCTTCTGGAGGGGGTTCATGTGGTCATACTTCTCCAGCTGGACATTTTATCAGAACATAGCTGTGCAGGGACACTGGGTGTGTTCCGGGGTTTTCTGTCAAGCTAAGTTCTGACAAGATCCAGTTGTTGTAGGAGCTGTGGGATATCTGCACATACTTTGTACAGAGCATTTCTGGGTGTGGGTGTTGAGTTCTCCAGAGGTTTGTGGGGTGCACGGTGCTTTGTCCGTCCTGAGCTGGGCCTCTGGGAGGGTGGTGGTGCTAGGAGCCCTGCCTGGATGTCTGTCCACAAGCTGCCCTGTTTTTGTCTCTTCCAGACCTCAGAAGAGATACTTCACCATCTTCAGAACATAGTAGACTTTGGCAAGAATGTCATGAAAGAGTTTTTGGGGGAGAGCTATGTTCATTGTGGGGTAAGTGCTGTTTATTTAAATTTCAGTACATTTGGTTATGAACTGACAATACTGACATCTTAGTGATAGCGCTTGTGCAGTAAGAATCTTCTAACTTTCCTCGCCTGCTGTGCCATGTGGCAGTCAGTCAGCTCTGCCAGAGGCACCTGTGCAGTGAAGTTCTCCAGAGTGAGCCTCTTCTGTTATCCTTGAACTGAAGGGCTAGCTTTGCCCTGTGTTCCTGTGGGTTAAGGAACAATGTGGGCCCATTCCTGGAGGCCCTTCCTGGAGGAGACATGTGGATATGAACATGGGTATGAGTGAAGGCCGTAGAAGAAAAGCTTTGAAACCTTTAACATTGCTGTCTGTTTTGGGTTTACTATCCTTGCAGCCTGCCTGTGGCAGGGAGGGACTAGATAAGGGATGCCCCTGGCCTTCCTGCTGAGCCCAGTGCTGTCTGAGCCTGAGCGGCTCAGCTGGCTGGGTGTC